CGATATAGTCGTACAATGCGACAACGGGTTGGACGGAGTTATGTCGCAACTGTGCGTAATGTTGACAGTGCTCAAACGCAGATTATACCAGTTTCCGTTATGATAGTAGCTTCTCGGAGAACAAAAATGTATGTAGTACTTTACATACGAATTTTTAAACGTGAGTTTGCATTTCGCGCCAAGTAGAAGTTATGCCATTGGTTCTTCCCTTTCATTGCTAACCATAAAGGGTTAAATACTTCACCTCGTGGCGGGCCAGTCTACTAGCCAGGAGCGTCCATGCTCTTGGCCGATACGTGGCAACGCCAAGGTCAAATAAGGACGGGTTCCCCTATCGGCGTTTCGCACATAAAGCACCGCTCGCCTGTGCGGAGAGTGCACTCAGCGGATGGACGCAGAGGAGGCCGCCCCGCATCGCTAGCCTGCTCACCGCGCGGTTCACGCCAGGTGCGTACGCAGCTGCTATGGAATGTAATCGACACGTTAGATAGTAACATGTTACGTACGTAGGTTTGCGCGAGGGGGGGGGGGGAGGAAGGATGGAGGGGCGTCGTCTCCCTGGAAATGTTTAAAAGGGACATGAAGTTCTTCGTAACGAAACATTTTATTTTCGAAAATATGTTCGATCCCTAATTTTCTTTTTTATTCGCCTAATAAGCCTATTCGCCTAGCTAGTGTCGTAAATCAAAGCTATCGTTTTTCAGCATTGGCAAAGAGGCTCTCTAAGCCATTGTACTTGTAAATGGCTTAACATAAAATCTGTATTGTATTTATTAATCGGGTCATTTAATGCCTCCCTCAAACCGTCCGTGTATTTTGAAATTTTAGTCATTTATTTAAAGTGATTTTAATATAATTATTATTGTTTATCGCGACACATCCCCAAGGAGTATACGCATTATTGATAAACTTAAAAATATAAAATTATATTTAAAAATATTACTAAATCACAATAATTAAATATATTAATTATAATATAACTTAAATATATAATATTTTTAAATACTTTAAAATATTTATTATTCGACCTGAAATTGTTCCCTCTAAGATACTTTCTGAATCCGCACCTGGAAACCAGGCATCAGGCAAAAATCGAAACAAAAATAAAACGTTTTTAACAGTGGAAGCGCAACCTCTGTCATTCTGTCAGTAATACTCGTATATGTCCGGCAGAAAACGATACAGAATGAAAGTTTCTGTTTTAAAATATCTTATAATTCGACGCAACTTTATACTCGGGATTTGTTTAGAAAAATGGCTCATAGGTAAATAATATAACTGGACTTTTCAGGGAATATACAATTTCTTATTATTTTTTACGTTAGTATTTATTGTTTCCGGGCTTATCGCTTACTGTTGTCATCAGTCCCGTAAGAGTAGTGAATATTATCTTCCATCATTAAACGCGGTGTTTCTTCGCAGCTGGAACGAGATCCGGCGCCAAACTACATGTCCGCGAGCAGGATTGCAGAAGTGATGTAAAGCGTAGCAAGTGTATGTTAAGGGTGAAATGAAAGATTCGCGCAGTCCCATTGGTTAGAATGTTTCAGCATTCGCCTGGCATTGAGCGGCGAAAGCACAATTAACACACTCGTCAGACATCACAGGATATTATCATAAGGAATGTACTTATACACTACAATGCCCTTCCGACGGCAGTAAGAGAGTACGGTAGTAAGAGATACGGTTCATAAAACTGAAAATTTAAATAAATTGATATCTAGAGAACAAAGGGAATATAAAGAAAAAATAATATTCGATTACAAAATGTCTGCTTTTGAGGAAGCAAGGAATAAATAGCTTAGATAAAGCATTTTAAATCGTCGGATTGCAAAGAGATATGTTAAAATAACACCAATTCTTGAAACACTAATCCATCATGCAATGCTTGAAATTGTTCATCAGGCAATGCTTGAAACTTCGTAGATGAATATGGTTACTAACTAAATCGGCAACTTTAAAGGCAACCTTTTGGAATTGAGAAGTTCCTATTACAATTTCAAACCTTTACCGAAAAGGGCTAAAAATAGATTTTAATGATCATTGAAATAATACTCATTAAATTCTCCAAATAGAATTTTGGGATGTTTGAATGGAACGAAAAACATTGTTTCAATATGTGAAAAAGCAATCTAAAAACACGTCAATGAAAATTGGGAGACTTGTGATTTAGATAGAATGTCGTCTTCTGTTTTAATACGGTGCTGAAATAACAAATTGGGTGGTAAATAGGATTCTAATTTTGTGTGGTACTCATAAAACTACGATTCAATGACGAATTCGGAGTAAAAACGTGAAATCCTTAATCTCAGACGTCATTTATCGACTTTTATCAGATACGTAGAGGTGATAGAAGTGATAGATGGGAACGATACTTAATAGTGCTCCCAAGCGCACAGATTAAAACGATTTTACAATAATATATAATACATTAAGTAACAAGGTTTTCGCCGCATTTTTTCATTTCTTCATATTGTTACCGGTCAGTAGGTCTACAGAAAATATGCCTACGTAAATAATATATAATATTGGAGGTCTAACGACACCTGGTCAATTTTAAAAGGTCTACATAATAAATGTCTTCACACTGTGCTAGTCTAGTGAAAAATGTCAAAAGCAAGTGTATCTACACGCAAAAATGAATAATATGTCTACATATAAAAAGGATACACGTATGAAAGTTTGATAGACTTGTTAGTAAGTGTAATTATAAATGCATGTTTAACTCAAAAAACATATTTATAAAATATATGCAATGCATGTATAGGGCAGAATTTCATTTAAATCATTCATCAGATTCTTCCACTTCATTTGCTTGCAATTTCAAACGATAACTTCATGTTATCAAGTAGGCGAGTTTTTATTTCGCTGTCTATAGATTTTGATGTTCGATAATATTACTTCAACTTGCTGCATATTGACACATTTTTTAAATAGAATTCTTTATTTTTAATTGTCTCGACAGAAGTTGTATAACCAGAATCTCTCTCTGATCGCGTTTGATGTAGTCAAGACATTTCCAAATGCTTGCATGATGAGTCACAAAACGTTTTGTAAATTTGCTACGCCATCCTTCTTATGGTTCTCTCAAACTTGTTTAACACTATATAATGCACATTCCAAGTATCAGGCGGGAACGTGGAGGTATTGCTCGTCGCTTTTTCTAAACACACCGTTGATATAGTATGTCATTTGCCTGCTATGGCTCCGTCACTTATGGTTTCGTACAAATACTCGAAGACTTCGACAACGCCAACAGATACGAAAGGCAACCCCATGAGCAGTCTAACCTCATGTTTCACCGTCCAATTATACATTTAGCTAGTATATATTTAGCTGCTAAACTTTGTAGTAAGTAGACATTTCAGCTGTACACATTTTTGTTGGTAGACATTTTAACTGTGGACGTTTAATCATTAGTAGTTAATTAGTTAGTTAGCTAGCTAGTTAGTTGAAACAAGTGGAGCCGAAGTTGCGCGTGACAACCATGGTTAATTTAATTTATTACTTTCTCGAATACTACTTACGTAATATAGAGAAACCATAAGAAGTTGAGAAGTGGGACTTGGCAGTACTAAGTATTGTAATACTGCTGCAAAAAACTGCGATTTTTCGGCGTAAAATCTCGTTTTGTGAGTCCCTGGAACCGTAAAGTGGATAATTTTTTCTGTCCATGCATCCGTCCGTTGAGAACGTTAATGGCTAAACGGTAATTTCGTATTTGCTATTAAATTAGATGATGATACCTATAACAAACTAATTTTTTTTATATTCAGCAAAATAATTGCACAATTTGTCATGGGACAGCAAGCTAAACACATCACTCTTTAGTCATGTTAACGGCATTCTAGATATAGATAGAAAATCAGTGAATACTTGCAACTTCACATCTATTTAAGTACAAGATATTGATCAAAGAGAGAGGGATCTTACAAGGCGCAAACGAGATTTAAGTGACTCAAAGGTCAAATCTGCATTTTAATTACTACGTATGAGTTCAATGTTTGAATTTTGTCGCCTTCTGATTATTGTCATTCAAAGTTTAAAATTCGCAGCTCTGTGTCGCAAAAATACCTCCACAATTCCCATGGGTATCGGGAACTGGCACAACAAAGCCAAAATTCCAATTAGGGACCACCCGAGCTGTTGCAGGTCGGGGGTACATGGAACCCCCAATCCGTTCCCTCATTGCAGATATTTATCCTTACGATGTAAGTCCCACATGAAATCTCAGCATTCTTGCATCCAATTCCATTTCCTCACAAGGGCTTTTACATGTGGTTCGTACATCATGCATGGGCTACCATCCCACACTTTGCTTGCAATACCACGATGGTGGTGCCTTAGAGTGAGCACTTGGACTCTGGGCTTTATCATTCCCCCCCCCCCCGGCGTTCAAGTATATGGGACGACATCCCAAGTGTTGGCCTTTGCCGGTCTGGGTAGCCGAAGTCGCTAAAGTTGAAGCGCCATAGCTGCCTCGGCGTGAAGGTTCGCGGGTTCGAATCCCGATTCGGGCATGGATGTTTGGATGTGACTTCGTGTTGTCCTTACGTTTCTTCTTAAAGTACACCGTGCAGTTAAAACACCCACAGTGGTCATTATATGACCAAGTTGTTGAAACGCGACCATGTGTTGAATTGAACTAATACCTTATTTCGCGTGGCGAGATCGGGCCATCAAGCCCGCTCTTCCGCCTGACCACTAGCGGAGAAAGGAGGTATGACTCGGGCGACGAAACATACGATTTGAATTTTACTCAGATGCTTGATTTAGGCTTGAGGATCTTTTACATGCAGTAAATCTACTAACATGGCTTTACTTTCCATCCGAAGGAAGGCGTACGAAGGATTATCTTGTACATAAAACTTCATTATCGATCGGGTTTGGACCCACGAACTAGGCTATAACAGTCCAATACGCTAACCGTTACACCATCTTCACCGCTTGTGTTGGCCTTAGTACAGAAGTAATCCGCCCCGATTCGTTCTGCTGGCAGGATGTGGGCAGCAGCGGCGTCGATCGTGTCCCGCGCCACGTGGGCCGACTGGGCGCTGCTGGCGGCCGGGCTGCTGCTGGTGCTGTACGTCGCCGGCACGTGGAACTACGACCACTTCCAGCGCCAGGGCGTGCCCTCCTCGCGGCCCAAGTGGCCCTTCCTGGGCGACACGGGCGCCGCCTTCGTGGGCGGCCGGCCCTTCTTCCAGATGCTGCGCGACCAGTACGAGAAGGGCGCGGGCCACGGCGTGTACGGTGTCTTCGAGTTCACGTCGCCCGTGCTGCTCATCCGAGAGCCCGAGCTGCTGAAGGCGGTGGCCGTCAAGGAGTTCGACAGCTTCACCAACCACCCCACGGTGCAAGTCGGGGACGCGGATCCTATTTTCAGCAAGAACCTCTTCCACCTCAAAGGTGAGCGAAAAGAGGCTGTCGTATTCATTCAGAGTGCACCATTTGGTCTCAATCCTACCTCAATAGTACCAGCCGTTTCTTGAAGCGAGACCAATGCTGTGCGGAGCCATCTAGACTTCCTTTTGATAAACGAATATTTTAGCAACCGTGAGCTTGTGCAGTGTTTCCTGGCATCCTAAAGATTGTTAAAAGGCCGGAATCGTTCGCTGAAAGGAGGCGTGTAAATCAGGAGAGACCTTAGAAATCATCGGAATCAATCAAATCAATGATTTCATCCAGAATCACTTCCACCTCATAGGTGAGCTAAAAGAGGTAATGATATTCATGCAGAGTCCACAACTTGTCCCTCAACCTTGCGCAATGGAACCAATCTTTCGTTGAGACGAGCAATGACTTGATCTACACGCCGTCGCTACAGTCGATTCGAATTGGTCTTTCTTTGGACAAACAAATCTGGAGTTTTAGCAAATGCGAACATTCGGAGTGTGTTTTTTGAAACACCAGAGTTCGCTAAAAGTCCGGAATCGTTCGTCATAAAGTTAGAGTGTAAATCAGAAGAGATCTTAGAAATCGCACAGAGAATATTGTCAATAAATTTTTGTGAGAGTGCGAGTATTGTTTTGAGGACTGAGTTTATTCCGCGACTCCGCATTTCTTATGTGCGCTCAATAAGACGTGGCCCTTATTTGAACCAAAGGAATTAAATACACTTAGATATAAAAGAAAAGTATTTCTTTGAAACTATCGGATAAAACGTTTCTCTCGTGCACATTGCAAGAGATGGCCGTACCTCCATCTCGTAAAAAAAGGTGATTTAATGAAAGTATTTCTTTGTAACTATCGGATAAAACGTTTCCGTCGAGGCCATTGCAAGAGATGGCCGTACCTCCATCTCGTAACACAAATGAAGTCGACAAATGACACGAGTGAAGTCGTTGAGAGCGTTTAAGACAGCGCTGTACCAAGTCTTCCAGTAGTTGCACTTTGCTGAAAGAAGTTCCAGCGGTCACGCCTAACGATACAGCTCGAAGCGTGTTCCGTTATTATCGCTATGTCTCAGGGGCAAGATGAACCACTTTCCCACTTTCTATTGCAATTTTCGAGTGTGGCGCCGGTCGCTTACTTCAAGCGGGTTGCGAGAACAAATGGACATTGATTCATTTCCAAAACGTGGGATTTGAAAACACTTCTTTATTATCTTAAGTCACATCGTGGTTCGCAAGACAGTACACAGTTCATAAAAGAGGAGAGGAAAATAATGTAATAACGTGTAGTAATGCATTTCAGACCAAGACTGGAGAGACATGCGAGCCACTCTGAGTCCCGCATTCACAACCAGCAAAATTAAAACCATGTTCTTGCTCATTTCGGAATGCGCGCAGCAGATGACTGAGCACTTAAGGAAAAAATATGCGGAGAGCGACGAAGGTAAGAACACTGACCTTTTCTTCCTTTTGAATGAAAGTTAGCTACACCTTACAGTGTTTTTTATAACTCTTGACAATTAAGAGATAAAAATATTGCACTCACTTTGTTTTATGACGACGGTCATCCTTGGTAGCAAGATTACCGTCTAAATTCTATTATTCTTCATTGTCTACATAAAGTTCTCAATAATTTATTAGAGTTATGTAAGTTGTCTTTTCATATATATCATATCAAAAGTTGTTCAGAAATAAAAATTAACGCAGAAATAAAAAAGCAGTCGAATTGTGTAAATTGGACGCTTTTTTTATTTCTGTGTTAAGTTTTATTTCTGAACAACTAGATATATCAGGCTTTATAATACACATCGTATTTAATTTACACAATTTCTTAACAATATTTTAACAGTTAGTACCGTGGAAAGTATTCTAGTATTTTCCCAAGGCAGAAGCAGATGGATTCCAAAAAAAGTTTCAAAATATAAAGAAGGTAGAAGTAAAAACATAAAATGTTATTGTAGAGTATTTTCCATGTTATTATCTAAGCCAGAAAATGTTGGTACGCAGGAAGCCTGAATAAACCACTTCCCTTCGACATGAAGGACCTCTTCAGCCGAATGGCGAACGACGTCATCGCCACAGCGGCATTCGGTGTCAGATGCGACTCCCTCAAGCAGCCTGAAAACGAATTTTACCGAATGGGAAAACTAATTACTACAATCTCGAAACTGAGATCGTTCATTTTAGTAGGATATATGCTGTTTCCCAAAATCGTTCAGGTGAGTCAATCTGCGGTCTGTTGGTAGTATTTAAATTGACCAAATGCTGAATATGTCCAAGATATTACATCTCTGTCCTTTCTATCTCCTTTTACTTCCTCACTTTACTACGTACGCAGTAAAGGGAAATATTGTAATGTTACGGCAGAAACAAACGATTTGAGGTCAGAAAAACTCTCCGTATAGGATCCTTGTATCGAAAATCTATATCATTTTTGTTCCTGATATAAAGTCTTTCTTCTAAAACGTTGTGACGTCAGAATCAATCATTTGTGGATCTTTGAAACTGAAAAATTGATCAACTGACGGCAAAGCCCCTGTCAGCCCGTTGTCAACGCTAGCGCCTAAGCCGTTGAAACATTTTTCGAGCAACCATTACTTTCTTAAATCGAGAAAAATGACATTACTCTTTCTACTGATGATGTAGGGGTAACGTGCCTCGCGTGTTAACTCGAAGCACGTCAGTTCGAATCTCGTAACGAAGAGAAAAGTCCTGGTTGAAAACGCTTTCGCAGATTCATGAAGTATGCATAATATTGCTTTTCTGCCACAATGAATGCGGTAAAGTAAGCACTATTGTATCACCACTAGTTTCTTAATTCTTTAAAAATGTATTATTTAAACCATTTGCCTCTTTGATACCGCATTCAAATCTTCTCTTTACTTTTCCCTTTACACTCTTTCTTTACTTTCCTTTTTGCTATTTATCTTTCTTCCCTACACATTCTCTTTCATTTGAAATACAATTGTTCATTTTATAATTATGATTCCTTATCCTACTAATTACTTATGTTTTCTATATCAAGAGTCTTTTCCATACCAATTATTTTTCTATCACAAATTCATGATTAGGTCTTCCCTTTCCGCAGTTTACACAGTACTTTTTGTCCTCTTTGATTCAGTATATATTTCCTTTCTATTTCTTCCAACCTTGTTACCCGTTATTACAGCTTTATTTGTTTGACCACTTCTTCATATTCTGTCATTTAAAACTCTTTGTTTCCTTTAAATTAATTTCGACTTTTACCTTCTCCCTCATTACCATTTAATATTATAATTGCTTTATTCTTACAGCTTTCCTTTTTATCTTCTCTGTACCCTTTGATCACAGTTTTCTAAAATGTTCCCATGACCTTTTTCCACATCCACATACCATAACCTAGTTTCGTTTCATAAACTTAAGTCTTGATGTAAAATAAACGCTAGCATTTTAAACAGAAGTACCTGTGAGGCCATTTGTGGGCGTTGCGTTGCAGTGGTTCGGCGCGCGCCTGCTGGACCCGAAGGCCGCGGGCTTCTTCGACTCGCTGGTGCACGAGACGATCGGCCAGCGCCGCCAGCAGGGCATCCAGCGGCTCGACATGCTGCAGCTGCTCATGCAGGCGCAGGAGGGGAAGCTCAAGGCGGAGAAGGAGGACGCGGCGGAGGCAGAGGAAGTGGGCGCCTCCAAGACGAGTGAGTGCCGTCGAGTTGTACGTCTCCTCGTCTAGAAGTGCTAGGATAAGAGTACCAGGAGAGCGAATCGCTAATAATATCTTAGTAGTTTTCTTAAATTCTTTGGCGCAAGTTCGATATGTGGCTTTTAAATTCAAGTGAAACTCGCGATTAGCGTACCTCTTTTTAAATAGATTCGTTACCTAAAAGAATTTTTAGGTATTCTGCAAAATGTTTAATTAATTTGTTTCCAAACCCGTTCCGGTAAAGGTAAAGGTACCCCTGTGCATTTGCACATACAGACCGATGTGGCCAAAGTGGGCTGTGAAGATAATGCTCAACCTGTTCGTCGCCGTCGGCACAAGGAGGAGGTTGTGTGGTGAGCACAACGCCCCAACCGCCTTTACCCTTAGGAAAGATGCCGGTTCTTACTTTTTTCAACCCAGTAATGACCATTAAATGGGGTAAAGTATTTGCTAAATAATTAGGAAGAGACTGGAATTTCTACAAGTTTAGCTATTGTTGACTCACAATCACTTTCAGAATCAGAATTGTTTTCTTCATCTCAGGATCGAGCAAACGAATCCCTAGGTAGTTAATTTATAAGACAGGGCTTGAAGTATCCACAAAATTATATCTTATCACAGTCGAAGGAACGAAGGTGTTATGTTTGTCAACATTTGATGTGTGTAGTTACGCCAGTCTGACTCAGGATTTGCAAATTGCAAAATTTTGGTATTGGTCAGTAATTTAACTCCATAATGACCACACGATATTCTAGTATAAACCTCCTGTTTCATACAAATAGTTCCTCAACAACTTACGTTTTAATATAAAAAAGGAAATAAAATAAATGATCAACATCCCAAGTCTCACCACAAGTTTAAATTAGACATTCTACAAATTGGAAGCCTATGAGAAGTCTCGAACTTTAAATTATTTTCCTTGCTGCGCTTGAAGTACGCACTCCTGCAGAATCTATCCTGAAAAAGATTACAATCTGTCAAAACATTCTAGGCCAAGATTTCGTTCAAATCTATTTCGAGCGTCCAGAAGACCATAAAGTGGTTTTTATCGTGATACTTCAACGGACGTGTGTGTATTTGCACGCGCGCGCCAAAGCTTTTCACGCATAATACGAGCAGATAAACTCATCAATTCTTAACTTAGCGCTCACGTCGCGAGTATGGACTGTTCGAATTCCATTCCAATCATTATTGATTGGTCATTTCGTGTTTCATGAGATCCGCCGCTGACCTCTATGTCGGCTAGCGGAAGGGGGGTTCCCCAAGCAGGAATATGTCACCGGCGGGGCACCGCCCCAATCGGGACAAATTCTAACGTTCCAAAGTATATTTTAGCCCTTAACAACCCACGGCCTCGATCGGATTTGAACCCGCGATTTGGAAACACCAGTTGGATTCGCTAATCGTTATACCCCGAAATCGCAACATAGGAAGAGGAAGGAAAGATAGCGCGTTCCCTGGCCCATTTCTTTGGTACTGTTCCGTCATTCGCCGGTGTTGATCGGCCACGCAAAACTACCAAACTGAGCGACCGGCCGCGAGAATTCTTCTCCACACACGGCTTAATTCGATCTACCTATCTAGAAATGGTTGAAAATACTGCAACCATCAGGTTTCGAACCCTAGGGACTCCCTGCTAGAAGCTCTGTAGTGACATCAGTTGATGCCGTAAGCCACCTAATACGGTATCAACCCATTAGAATTTTGTAACGTTCCGTTATTGAGTACACATACACCTTACAAACAACATTTTCATTTCTATTTCAGAATTGCTTCTGAACGAGGACGTGTCTGCACAAGCCGTTCTCTTCTTCTTCGCTGGCTTCGACACGGTGTCCTCGGCGCTCTGCCTGTCCACCTACGTTTTATCTCACCACCAAAACGAGCAGAAGCGCCTTTACGAAGAAGTTGCTGCAGTTATGGAGAAAACGGGAGGGAAACCTACGTACGAAGCCGTGCAGGGAATGAAGTATCTCGACGCAGTCGTTAGCGGTGAGAACACGAACACTACCATTGTATGTTAGGGAAAAACGTGATTTCTATTATATACTTGGTGATTAGGCGAAACCCGAATATAGGCAATTCTAGTTTTACTGCGATTTTCAACTCACCTTGAAATGCATCGACGTACCGACAGAGAAAATAGTGTAGTGTAGGCGTGTAGTGTAGCAGTCTGAACGCTTGCCTTTCGTCGCTCAGAGAGGCTCAGTTCTCCGACGATTCATATAGAATTGGTGTTGGGCGAAGCGGGTTTTCTCGGGGTTTTCCCATTGGCCCAGCTTTTTATTCCACCATTGCTCCACTATAATTCAGCAGGATCCGTCAATCCATTTATCTCATTCATTTCTAGATTCACCGAGAGGGGTTGTAATGTGAATCATACAGTTGTAGTTAAAGCAGCACTGCCATTCTCCTTCAGTGTGACTACAGCGCGTAGTACAGTCCACTAGAAAATGAAGAATGAATTGATGAAGTATATGTAGTTGTACTACAGACCCGTCCCGGGTGGCCTAAATGGCTAAAGCGACAGCCCGGTGACATTCACTGACAGAAGGGCTTGGGCATGGATATTTTATACCCTTGTGTTGTGGCATGGTGAGCACTACTCTATTCGACCATGCATCACCTTTCTACCCTCACTCCACATTTCCTATCAGGTGACGTAAGGACATGGATTTTGTGATATGTTCTCGTTGTACTAGTGCCTGCAACCTCGCCAGTAAAAAAAATATGGGGCCGGCACCGCCAAGAAGTGCGTATTATGATCCTCCCGCCACAGCTGACGCAGAGTACGGTCATGTGCCTGCACTCCCTAACCCGATAACAGCGGTCCAAGTCAATAGGGACTCACGCAGGTCAGCCGTGTAATGCATTGCACAAACAACCCGAATTTAAGGATGTACGGTTCACATGAGATAAAGGAATAAGTATGTACAATAGATACCTTTATGACCGCTTCTGGAGCCGGCCCCCAAGTGGAGAGCGCAGTCATTCAGCCTAAGCAGAGTTTTTTGAAAACTGTCCTTTCAAGTGACGGTTCCCTCTAGAACCGTAGAGGTTCAGAGGTAACTCACACAAACACCTAAGTAGTTATATTACAGAACTGTACTTTCTCTTACTATTTTTAGTATAATATTTCTATGTACCACTTATGGGAGAAAATAAAAGTCCTAATAATAATAATACTAATAATAATAATAATAGTAATAATAATAATAGTAATAATAATAATAATAGTAATAATAATAATAANNNAATAATAATAATAATAATAATAATAATAATAATAATAATAATAATAATAATAATAATAGTCGGCCCCCTGGCGTAGACAGTTGTGGCAGCCGTCGTCTGTACCGAGGAGGCTGCAGGTTCGAGTCCTGCGTAGACATGGTCGTAATTGTGATTGTCCCTTCACCTATCATCATCATCCTATCATCTCATAAGTCACACTACAAGGCTTAACAACCTTGTTGTAATCCAAGGATACAGCTGAAAAGCTGATCCTGGAAGAATTACACACGTTAATCGTGTAGCGTGGTCAGTAATGGCCAATACGCCAATAATAATAATAATAATAATAATAATAATAATAATAATAATAATAATAATAATAATAATCATAATAAATACAATAATTTTACGAAAGAAAAATAAAAAAATGTGTTATTACGAGAGTTTGTCAATTTGACTTGAATTGCGTGCACTGTCCGCTCGCAGAGGTGCTGCGCCTATACCCGCCCGCCGGCCGCACGGATCGCCAGTGCGTGCGGGAGGTGCGTCTGCCCGCCACCGCTTCCTCCGCGCCTCTCCTCGTGCCCCGGGGGCAAGTCATCCACGTGCCCATCATCGGCCTGCACCGCGACCCCGCCTTCTGGCACGACCCGGACAGCCTAGTAAATACTGACTCTGGCCGCGGAAGCCTACGCTCTAACGGAATATAATGTTAGCTGAAACTGCAAGAGCATTCTGCACCTAACAAATCATTGCTTTCGTTGTGTATGTACGGAGCTGTATACTGGAAACTCAATTTCGAAAGACCACTCTCTGAACGGAGGTGGGCGTGAAGTGAACTGAACTTCATGTAGGCCGAGAACTGGGCGTGGGAAAACACTGTAACACACTTCACTATATCAGCGTTCACTACAACCGGAGTCGACTGTACATAATAACGCGGTGTATAGACGCGATTAAATCACATAGAATACCAATGGAAATCTAATTTGACATACATTTTGAAAGTAGATAATTTATAAAAGCTAACTCTTTAAAAAAATAGTTAACTCTCTAAAAATAGAAATATCAACTCCCCCCCCCCAAATGTGAAGTCCAAATAGGCCCCTTTTAGTAGAATTACTCGCACGATATCTATTGTGACGTAGTGAAATAAGAAATAAATTTCAGTAACAAAAGAAAAATAATATATTCTAAGATTATGTACAAGTTACAATGAATTGCTAATATTAAAACACTCCGGCAACCTTTTCCTTTCAGAACACTGCTTTACCGCAGAAAACACAAGCCACGCGTGATGCGCGCCGTCGGACCTCTGTCCCGTGACAATTACCGTCACATGGCCTGACGCCAAAAGTTAACCCGGTCGTGGCGACCGTGTGCCTACAGCACGTGAGATTGTCTGGCCCTTACTCTCCGGACATCTCGCCCTCACTCCTACACCCTCCTTGTACATACACGTACAAGCTTCCCGATGCAAACTGAATGAGAGCGCGGGCGCAGATGGCGCCGCGTTAAATAGTTGAGGCTGACACCCCCACCACTGTTCCATAGATAGGCCCGCCGGCTGGCGCGAGGCTCGCAGGCCAGCCTTTGGTTTACGCCCACACAAAGAGTTCTCAGGTTGGCTGCCTGCTTCCGTAAACGAGGCTCGCCGGCAGCATCCTCGGAGTTTACAGCCTCCGGTATTTTTGGCTCTGCGGCACTACCTGAGTCAACCGCCCGAGCGCAAACTCCCGGATGTTCGGCTTAACACCTTCCTCCCCCGCAGCGTACTTTCACCAACCTAACGGTTCTGGCCCTCGTGTTAACGACGCCACACTATGTACTCGACGCCCGTTTAAATGCGAGTGACACGTACGAGAAGGGAAACACGCTCATGCGCAGTGGAGTGATCTACACACACTACTCGAATTGCTGCTCATAAAATATGAGGTAGCCTAAAGCGAGCTACAGATTGTAATCGCCCAGCAATTTGTTTTACAGAGTTTTTAATATATTACCTAGGTTTACTTGTCCAATTCGTACACGAAATGTGAATGTAATGTTTTGTACCGAAATTGTCGGCCCAACAGCTCGGAAGTCAATATTCGTGAGATGTCATTCAGTGTGGCCGTTTTCTTTTTTGAGACGACAGCCGTGAACACAAGTTCATTGCGCGACGTCTAGATTTATAAACGGCGTAAGAGTTTTAATCCACAGTCCTTTTCGCGGGCAAGAAAAGCCGGATGTTAATAGTCTGGAACGCACCAAACACGTGTTCTGCGCAATGGAGCAGGTCAACGTGCTTTTGGTTTCGCTTGGTCGCCTGCTGACCTCTTTATAGTGGAATGTACAAACTTCTATAAATTCCGCCCTTAATCTGTTTGCTGTGGTAATTCCCAGCCCAGCGGTCGCACATTAATAAAGTTTGAGATCGCTGGCCTCTTATCAATCCCTCATCTTCCCATTTATAGAAGGTATACTATTTCTCACATGATTCATTCCAAGTAGGTCGTAATATTAAAAAAGAAGTGTTTTAAGATCCACCCTCTGAACTGCTATTATTAACACTAGTGGAGATGAAATACATTATAATGAGTGCAAATTTAGAATTAATGAAGAAATGGAAATGCACATTTGAACATCACAGACTTTGTGCAAGCAAGGTCTTAGTATGCCCATTTGCAGATCATCTAGAGGCGGATTATCAACTTTTATTACCTGAATGTCCACGAAAGTATTTGAAAGCCCACGAAAAATTGTCGTCTACTTTTTAGGAGTTACATGTAATAAGTATAATTTATGTTTAAAAAATCGGACTCGCCTATTTATGTCTAAAATTAAATTGTTGAAAAGCGCAGGGATTCATTCTTCAAATTCACCCTTCAAATACAGAGCAGTATTTTCCGTTGGCTTCTCAACCATCCAATTTATTAATAATATGCAAATAAGGTTAAATTTAATATAATTTATTTCGGAAAAATGTATCTTATCATACTGTGTCTGCTTTTTAATTCTAGGTCAACGTTTCGGATTAATAGAAGTGAAGATAGCGCTGGTGTACCTCCTGGCCAACTTTGAGTTGCTCCCAAGCGCTAAAGCGAAATACCCTGCGGAATTTGAACCGGGCTTTAATTTGATCATTAAAGGAGGTTTTTGGTGCGAACTCAAGCCGCGGTGACATGGTGTTACATGGTTCATGCAAAACAGGTGGCAAGAGGATAGCTACTACCGTGTTATCCTGCTGGTTGAAACTGTTTTAAACCTGTTGATATGTACTACCGAATTTGAAGCTCAAGTATTTTGGCTGCGAATAAACCAGTATTATAGTATTTATGACGCGTTTTGCACAATAACGAATAAAATTCATTACACAATGCTTACATTATTGATGACTATTAGTGTGAAACATTCTGTTTTTCTATTTCCTCTTACATTATATTTTCAGATTCTGTATGTTGAAGAAATTGAAGAGTTTCTTTTATCTGCAGGGTAAGCAGTAAGCGAGAAAGAAAAATAATTAAAAGTTAATAAAAAATACAAAACTGAGAGCGTTGGCAAACAAATGTGAATAGATAGAAAAATATATAATATTAAACATTATGGTATTGTAATATTCTACGAACGACAGGCAGGTTTCATTGCCGCCTTCTGTTTCAATGCGGCGTTATAAAAAAGGGTTACAAGTAACAACGATTGACAGACAACAATTGACAGACGTTTTACAAATCGATTAATAGTTGAAAAAATGTTTAAAAGAAGCAAATTGAAACATAACGTACAGACACGTCCGGTTTACCATATATAAATATCGTCTGTATTTGTAAGAAAAAGTACTTCAAATAATTTCCAGTAAGGTTTTTTTGAATTCTTCACATTTTCAGCAACAACACATCAAATCATCAAACAATTCATCAAATTGTCAACAAAGCAACAATCAATTAAGTATCCCTGTCTGGGATTCGAATGCGGTTCATTTTACCCGAAGCGGTCAATCCGTACACATAACTAGCTCGGCCATCCGGGTAGGTTACGGTTTGAATACTTCTATATTAGTCAAAATGTAAATTGTATCAGTTCTAGCTTTACGGAGCCGATAAATTGATAAAACGTGAAAAACGTGGGTTTTCGGGTGACAGAAAAAGGCCATTTCCATTCGGAAATGCAAGTCCAGAAAGAAAAAAAAATTAGAAAATTAAATATTGCGAGAAAGTCTGTGCCATTCTATAGCACCACTAGTTGTTTGTATCATAGTCCCACAACGCATGTGATTTGCCTAAACAGGCAACTACGTTCCTTGTAGTTAATTACAATTACGTTGGGAGTTAAAGAGTGAGTGAGAGAAGGGAAGTGAGGAGCCATCCTCACAGTAACATTGAAGTTATTGTTTTTTTCCCTTAGGGTTCGACGGGCGGCAGCGGCGTAACTGTTTATAAGACAAAAAACCTGTAAGTCCTAAAATGTAGGCAATTGTATCATCTTTCGTTTCATATAAGGTCAATACTTACGAAGAAGGCGTAGTTTTTAGCAATATTGAGGTATAATGGGATGAATTACGTTTTCAGAATTTTCTACATAAAATCATCAAAATTTACGTTGTTCTACAGGCTACATTCCAGGTTGGAGAAAAATCGCTTAAGACATAAAATGTAGGCAATTTTATGTTCTTTTATTTCATATAAGACCATTATTTACGAAAAGTGAATTGTTTTCGAGGCTTCAAGGTCAGTAGGTCTAAAGGAAAAATGTCTAACTATTAAGGTCTAACAGAAAAAAATGTCTAATACAAATGTAGTCTACAGCTACATCAAGTCTAATGTTTAAACGTCCACAGCTAAAATGACTACCAAAAAAAATGTCTACAGCTAAAATGTCTACTAACTACGAAGTTTATCAGCTAAACGTTTGCTTGCTAAAAGTCTAACAGAAATGTCTTACGAGTACTGTTATAATATTGTGTCAATATTGACCAAGTTGAAGTAATAGTATCGCGCTATGAAAACTATAGACAGCAAAATGAAATTCTCGCATACTGGTTATCGGCTGAAATTGCAAGCAGGTGCAATCTAATGAACGATTTTAATGAATCTCTGTTCTATTAATGTATTGCATATTCTTTTATACTTTTTTAGCTAAACATGCATTTAAAAATACATTTACTACAATAACCCTGTGTATATACCAGAAATGAAAATGTCGTTGGAGCTACATGTAAATCTCTCCCCCAAATTCGTCGTATTCCAGGGCCATATATTCGAATGTATTTAAGGGCCCGAGACATGAGCCAGATCAATTGGAGAATATCAGTTTTGATGAACTTCTTGAGTTCAGTTAACCCACTATCGTTCTTCACGCACAGACCGACGGACAGACGTTTCGCGTTAGTCAAATATTTTGGAGTCAAGGAACTGCAAAACTTGGGTTCTCTGTAGAACTACACAGCGGGTTAGATTCCATATCCGACAACACGTTTCTTTCTGTCGAGAAATCACTGTTGCTCTCGCTTGGCGCCGTTTGCGGCCGCATTACACTGCATCTTCGAATTCCCACGGCCTTTGTGTTCTCGGACTTTGACTCGTCTGTTTCGAACCTCTGTCCCACGAGTCCGAATCACTTGATCGTACTAACTGTAAATGTGTTACGGACGTTACACAAAATGAGATAAAAGTTATAACACAAGAAAAAACTGACTTTTGTATACAAACGCCGTCTTTAATGTTCTGTTGTCTTATTCTACGTATATGAAACATTTTGAAAATATTCGTTTTCATAGCGCTTTCGTTTTCACAGTTTTCAAAAACGCACTAAGTAATAAAAAAATTAGCTAATTTCAAAATTATCTAACTCTATACAATGCGTTACAGAACATAATATTTACAGCACATGAAAATTAACACAATGGTTTATTTTAATTCCAAATAATATTTATATAGAGGAAATTGTGTTTTATCACAAAATACGTAATTTTTCCACATTTTATACATTTCTGATATTCTAAGAGAATGAACATTCTTCTATATTGAAAGTTAAAGTAAGAATAAAACTTTCTTCTTTATGAAAATTTTCCTTTGCAAAATTTGAGGTCGGTTAGACAAAATATAGTTTTCAGTATTTCTGACAGTGAATAATTTGGAGCTCATTTTCAGAGGAAAGTTTTGAATTTTTGAGAAACGTCATCCGACAGTACTTGAAGCACTTGTTCTCGCAACTTGAATAAGTTTAAAGAACGCTCCTGCATATTAGCCACGTGAGACAATTATAAAAAATACATTTGTCTAATTTCTGAAATATTTATTAATACGGCGCGTAAATCACGTTATTCAGTGCATTTAACGCTATCCGTACAAAAAGTGCACAAAAAACATTGAAGCCATTTTTGAGAAAATATCGTTTTTAATATTTCTTAAGATTGCTCATATTTCACTAATAAAATAAAAAAAAGTCGAAAAACAACTAATATTATCAAATGCTGTACTATATACTGAAGATGATGCGTAAACCCATCGAAAACTTGTATTGCAATAAACACTTGGCCAAGACAATACCTTTTTTCTTATATTCCCGAATTCCTTCTTCAAAGTTCTACTCAGTCTTTGTGTGAGAGACAGTAACAAATGAGAAGGTAATAAATTAATAAATGTTTAAATTGTGTTATGCAATGTACAAAAGGGCCAGAAGAAACAGTTCCTGAAGAAGTGTCAACCAAACCTGTTATTGACTTCAAATTATTGACAATTACCATAAATTGATCTCAACATTCTTAATCAGTATTCCCATTAGTCTCAAGCGGTCAGCATTTGATGAAAAGTTTCCGCACTCTGCAACTCTGAGGGAGGGTTGTAAGTTTTCCTGTGCGGTGAGACTGACGTGAGTGTGAGAATTGCTTTTTCAGATTTTGATCGAGTATTGTTTGTGTGCTATGAACGTTAGCGAGCACATGGTATCAGTTTCTTGTGCTTCACAAACATCCACCCACACGATTCCAAGAACGCGATTTCCGAGAAGTAGGGGTGGGGCAAGTTCCACTGTTTAACTTAATTAAATAGCTTCCTTCTGAAATCACGAATGTTAATAAAACTCTCAACGAGAAATTCAATGGTGGAAACCATACTTCAATCCAAATATTAGTTTAGGAAATAGGCGTGAATAAAAATTGAGTCAAAATATAGAAATTTCGTGAAAAAGTTGAAAAAAAAACAAACTAAATTTAATAGCTTCCTTCTGAAATCACGTATGTTGGTAAATCTGTCGACGAGAAACTCAATGGTGCATACCATACTTGAATCCAAATATTACTTTCGGAATTACACGTGAAAGAAAATTGAGCCCAAATTGAGAAAAATGGTGAAAAATTTGGAAAAAACTTAATTTTATAGCTTCCTTCTATAATCACGTGTCTAAGTAAAACTCTCGAGGAGAAATTCAATGGTGCAAACCAGAATTCAATCCGAGTATTAGTTCAGGAAATAAGCTTGAAAGAACATTGAGACCAAATATAGAAATTTGTTGAAAAAGTTGAAAAAAAAAACAAATTTAATAGCTTCTTTCTGACATAACGTATGTTGGTACAACTCTCGACGAGAAATTCAATGAAGCAATCCAGACTTAAATCCGAGTATTAGTTTCGGAATTACAGGTGAAATAAAATTGAGCCCAAATTAAAAAAAATATTGAAAAATTTGGAAAAAACTTAATTTTTTAGCTTACGTCTAAAATCACACGTATAAGTAAAACACTCGACGAGAAATTCAACGGTGCAAACCAGTATTCAATCCGAGTATTAGTTTCCAAATTACACGTGAAACAAAATTAAGCCCAAATTAAGAAATTTGGTGAAAAATTTGGAAAAAACCTAATTTAATAGCTTCCTTCTAAAATCACGTGTGTAAGTAAAACTCTCGACGTGAAATTCAATGGTGCAAACCAGACTTGAATCCGAGTATTATTTTCAGAATTACGCGTGAAAGGAAATTGAGCCCAAATTGAAAAATTATTGAAAATTTTTTTTATTTCAGAACTATCCGACGAAAATATAATTGCGCAGTCTATTATCTTCTTTATCGGATTATTTGAAACAGTTTCATCAGCGCTATGATTAGCGACCACTGCACTATCTCAACATCCTGATGTTCAGAGATGTCTCCAGGCAGAGGTCGACGAAGTCATGGAAACAACCCTCCTACGACGCCATTCCAAACATGAAATATATATATATATATATATATATATATATATATATATATATATATAT